CAAGCATGCATATCTTAACAAAGCCATCTATGAGCATTGGAGAGGAGTTCAGTGTGTCAAGAGGCTACTGAACCCAAGGCAGGGTTTTATATAGCAGAAGGATCATGTAGGATGCTAGGACCTTGAGATCACCCATTCCCCTTTGAACCTTAGATCCCATTTGGGTTTCTTCTTCAAGTTCACCCATCCAGAAGTAGAACTGGATGGTCTCTGGCCTCCTTGGGTACTTTAAAAGCTGACTTCTAAAAAGCGAGTGTACTTGGCCGCTATTTCAGGCAGGTGGCGATGTTGCGCTGAGATAGCACATCGTGTTTCAGCAGCCTTAACCTCAACCACACACTCCTTTTAGAGTTGCTGTTGGTCCTGATGGACAGCACAGGAAAGAACCGTGTCAAACTTGTGGATTGGTGAGTACTTTGGCCTCCGATCCACATCTCCAAGATGCTGTGGTAGGGTTCAGGGAACGTGTATGCCCAGCCGGATTCTCCTTCTCTCTGTCCAGCCCGCTCCGCCGACACAGTCATGTCTCACCCTCAGTCTTCGGCGTTTCTGTCTGTACCTCCATCACCTCCACCAAGGATGGGGAGTTGGCCACAGGAACCTGGTATATGCTAACAGATTCAGTTTCCACCAGTCTCTTTTAGATAAATCAGATTTAGGTGCATTCATTTTTGTGAATGTGTGTGCGCTAAATTTTGTGGGTTTTTAGTATGTGTAGTTAATGTGTACTACCAGTTTCAAAATACTGATCTAGTTCCTTTTTATCACTTTTATTTGCAGTCTTCCCTGCCATAGTTTGTGGGAACACTCACTTTTAAAGTACATTTGGGATCTTTTGTAGAACTTGTTGTGTTTAAGACAGGGTCTCCTGTAGCCCAGGCTAGCCCTGAGCTCTCAATTGTCTTGCCTCTACCTTCCAAAGGCTCAGATGATGTTTTGTGCCACCACACCTGTCTTACTTTAACTTCTCTCTCCCTCTCTCTCCCCTAGTTGTCCTAGAACTTACTATGTAGGCCTGACTTGCCTTTGCCTCTGCTGGAATTAAAGGCATGGGCCTCAGTACCCAGCTCTTATTCTAAACTTTTTAATTCTAGTTATATATTACATTTGTTGAATGCGCACATACGTTTGTGCATGCATGTGTATGTTTCTGTTTGTGTTCACATGTGTGTAGGACTAATCTCACAGCCCTTGTTTCTGCTTCTGATGAAAACAGATTCATTATATTTTTCTTCAACAATGTAGGCATTCTTATTAGATGATCTGGAAGGCAAGTTTTCGGGAATTTTTTCTCATTAGCCTGTCTGTCTCTTACTCTTTTCACAGTTAGGTCACGGAAGAGAACTTAGTGACACACCACAGATTACTGACAGCCTGTTCTCATGTTGTTGGCCTGACCGAGACCGTGCCCTGTCACAGTGTGGTAGCTTCAGAACAGTCACTGTGGGGTCTCTTGACTGTTCTTTTTTCTTAAACAAAAGGTCATAAGCTCTCAGATGTCTGCTCTCCTTGGCTGTATCTGATTGTTTGTGAATTTTGAAGAATTGCTGGATTTTTCTCAGTTTATCAATTTACTTAAATACAAATGCTCACACTATTGCCATTTTTCCCGCATGACGTTTGCTGCGCCTCTGCCGCTCACTCCCCGTGTTGTTCCTGCCTCAGTTTGTTGTGGTGACTGTCACAAAATGAAAGGCACCCCCCCCCCCCGCCCCGTCTGTCTCAGAGAAACCACAGGGTTTCTCTGTGGTGCCCTGGCTGTCCTGGAACTCACTCTGTAGATCAGGCTGGCCTTGAACTCAGAGATCTGTACATCTCTGACTCCTGAGTGCTGGGATTAAATGTGTGCGCCACCACTGCCTGGTTTAAAATAACTTTTTAAAGCTGAAGTTTGAGATGGGATAATGGCGTCAGTTTTGAAGAGTCTGAAATGCTCTCTTCTACATTTTAGATGCCAGAGTGTAACAGCAGGACTTAAATTCATTTGTTTCACGTTCTTTGAATTTTTGCTTTTCTGTGTGTGAGTTAAATGGAATTTTTAGGTTTGTATAAAATGTTGAATAGTCATTTATAAACACTTTAGACATTTTACGTTCCACAAATACAGGTATTTTTGGCTGCATTGAATATTGATTGGCTAAAATTGGATTCTTAAGTCAGTGTAATGTATACCATAAATTACTCATTTCGAGAAGAATTTGTGTAAATTCGAATTAACGTAGTACCACTGCTGCATGTATTAAGGAGTAAATCCTCTTTGCTCCTTGACAGGCAGTGTTCTTTCTGTTACTGTGAGAGACAAGTGTGAGATGTAAATACTCAAACACAATTTATCGGGAAAAGGAGCACACTGAACAAAGTTTCCCAGACTAAGTCAGTGCTGCTGCATTTTCCCTTCTCTGATTCTGAGACAGGGTCCCACTTTGTACCTTTGGCTGGCCTGGAACTCTCAGTGTATCCCCGGCCGGCCTCAAATTAATAGAGATCCACCTGCCCCAGCCACACAACCGCTAGGTTTTTATGAATAGGGACTCGCTAGCCAGACCTTCCCTTATGTTTTATTCAAGTCTTGTTTAATTTAATGCCAGTCGTGAGCTGAGTTGAAAAGGAGCCTAGGCTTCCCTTCCAGCCCTTGCCTTTCTTTGATACAAGCTATGTCTAAAAGTTAGGGGGGAAAGGGCCATACATATTTTCTTGCAAAGTGGTTATTTTGTTTTATTATTTTTTTAGTCTTGTATGTTTTTATGTGATATATTATATTATTGTGCATTGAGAAATGCTTAGATGTATTCCTAGGTGATAAAGAGTCATCTCTGGGTGTTTGATTTATGTGTGTCTCTACTACAATTTCTGAAACAGTCATGTGTTCTCATCAAGTCTTAGTTACTTTTCTCATTGTGATGAAATGCCTGACAAGAAGCAGCATCAGGCAGGGTTTGTTTTGGCTGGCATTTGAGGCTGGGTGCAGTCCATCGTGTAGAAGACAAGGTAGTGGAAGTGGGATGTGGCTGTGTGTGACCTCACAGGAAGCAGCTGTGAATGGAAGTGCTGCATTTCCTCTGCTTCTGTCCGTTCGCTCAAGACTGGTGCCTCTCACATCCCCGATAGGGCTCCTGCCTCAGTTTACCTCCCCGACACAGCCTGAGCACCATTCTGCACCTTCAGCACAAGCATCTCTTTGCTGTTGAGTTTCAGATGAACTTTTATGTCGCCGGTCTCATGAGCTCATGGGCATGTCTTCCTTAGCTTTCTGGGAATTGCGGTAGCAGCGCTAGCTCCTGACCTGAGCGACCTTACCCCTTTATCGTAGAGTTCTGAGGCCTCTTCTGCTTTCACTTACTCCATAAGTTCCTTGAAGATGGTGTGGCAGTCCAAAGAGTCAGTTATCAGCCAGACCTTACTGTTTTCAGTATAAGCAGTTCCATAATGTCCTCCTTTTTTTTTTTTTTTTGTCCCTTTCTGTGGAGCCAAAATGTTCCTGTTTGGCCTGGTACAAGGTGTGCTGCGTCCCAGCGAGTGACCTCAGGTGTAGAGGACCTGTGCTCGTGGGCACAGCCACTGCCTGTTGTGTTTTCTCTCTGGGGGGTGGGGCTTATTTTGTTGTTCTGAGAAGGGGTTTCACTGTGCCTGTGAGACTTTGAATTTGTGACTCTCATGCTGCACCCTGTCCCCAGTATTGGGGTCTCAGGCATGTGTCCCCATGCCTGCTTCCAATAGCATTTAGAGATGTGGCATCTAGAGCACATTTCTGAGTATGCTTAGTCCCATCCCTGAGTTCAGAACAGGGCACGGTGACCGCAGAAAGTTCCATTAATTTTGCCACTGTGAAATTGGGGTTCTCTAAGGAACTCTTTACTCTTTAAATTCATTTGTTGGATTTAACATTTTATTTTTAAGGAGCTGTACTGTGTAGCCCCAGGTAGTCTTGGAACCACACAGTCCTCCTGCCTCAGTTCCTGAGCGCCACCCATACCAAACTGTGTTGGAGTATCTCGTCTTGACACCTAAGACACCCAGCCTTGCCCTTTTTTGTTATTTGTTGAGACAAGGACTGATGTCTCCTGAAAACCATTACACAAACACCGTTCTCCCCATTCCTGGGGTGTAGTGAGATAGACTATGAGTATTTGAGCAAGTGAATGAATTAGTAACTTTCTACATTTTTAAAGGTAGTACGCATTGCTTTGTGTACTGGGCTGGTACTGCAGTTCAGTAGGAAATGCTGTTATTACAATAGTATTGTCTTGAGCTGTGTTCTTGTACTTTTAAGTAATGCTCTGAAGTATTTACTGTTTTATAATTAATAGAATTCTCTCAGAATGAACCATATAGTCTCTCACCCGTGTGTGTGTGTGTGTGTGTGTGTGTGTGTGTAGGCAAGAAGTACATGCCAGATGTCTTCTTCATTTCTCCCCCTTAACATTTAAGACGTGGAGGTCACTGATTGGGTAGACCAGCTGACTAGCGCACTCCCTGGATCCACCAAGCTCGCAATTGGGTTAGACCCTTACACCCCCTTGTTGAACTAAGGCCCTAAGCTTTTGTGGCAGACCCTCTATCACGGAGCCACCTCCAGCCTGTGGAACACAGTATCTATTTCACAGAGCTCTGTAAGTCAGTTGCAGGAGGACCACAGAGGTCCTAATTCTTGCCTTTTCACTTGAAGCAGCAGAGATTGGATCCCTCCACTCCAAGTTTTAAAAGTCAGATCCCCATATGGAGTCCTGGTGACCTGTAAAACACTGTTTAAGATCTGTCATCCATTCTTTTTTTTTTTTTAATGTGATGATGATTTTATTTATTTATTTATTTTTGGAGTCAATAGGGTGCTTTACTTTGTTTATCCCGAATAAAGAGACAGAATGTGTAATATCTTTAGTTTTTTTTTTATACAAATGTGTGAACTAGGCAAACATTTCTATTCATTTTTTCATTCTGTACCTGTCCTTAGGTAAACCCGAGTGACCTCAGATGTTTTTTGTCTCTTTCCTCCTTCCTAGGTTCAGGACATCTGTTTCAGCCATGATTGTCGCTGGGTGGTGGTCAGTACCCTCCGGGGTACTTCCCACGTTTTCCCCATCAACCCTTACGGTGGCCAGCCTTGTGTCCGCACACACATGTCACCACGAGTAGTGAATCGCATGAGCCGTTTCCAGAAAAGTGCTGGGCTGGAAGAAATTGAGCAAGAACTGACATCTAAGCAAGGCGGTCGCTGTAGTCCCGTTCCAGGCTTATCCAGCAGCCCTTCCGGCTCCCCGCTGCATGGTAAACCCACTCTCCTCTCTCTGCGCTGCTGGCTCTATGACATCAATTGTATTGACTTGGGATCAGATGCAGATTTTTATAATCTGCTTGTGCTCTGGTTAAGTCCTAAGCACATTTAAGAAGTTCATATTTGTTAAATCAAAAGTGTGAACCAAAATGATAATGATGATCTTTTCATGGTGTTCTAACTGCTTTGCATTTCAGTATATAAAGAGTATTCTATTTGAGATTAAGTCTGCTTTCATAATATTTGAGTATGCATTGCTTTGTGTACTGGGCTGATACTGCAGTCCACTAGGAAATACTGTTATCACAATGGTATTGTCTTGAGCTGTGTTCTTTTACTTTTAAGTAATGCTCTCTCCCAGTACGTTATAGCAGAACAAAGTCACATTCCAGTACCGTCATCCTGATCAATAAATGGAGCATCACCAAAATCCTTTCTTGTCCACCTCTTTATAGTATTAATCCACAATTCTGAACTTTATGGTGTCCACCTGCGTTTAAAAATGCATTTGCTCTAGCATTCCCTTATAGGTGTTTCATTTGAAGTTCATGGACTTATACAGTGGATGTGTTTTTATAAGATCTATTAATGCTGTGGGATGGTTTATTTGGTTTTGTTTTTGATAGAGTCAATTTCAAACTCTATCCAAGGCGTAGTTTGACTCCTCAGTGCTGGGCTTGCTGCCCACACCCTTCTTCTTTTCTTGTTTTGAGAGTTGTTGTATGTGGCTGCTGCTCCTTCGTTCAGTTTTGAGGTGTTTGAAATGTTGTATTTCATCTGCTCCCCCAATCCCTTATGCAGGCAGACTTGCCGATATTTGGTTATTGTGCCCGACCATTCTGAAGTAAACCTGTGTGGTTTCTGGTTGGGAGCTTACTAATTCTAATGATGCAATGAAGTTTTCCCAGTGTTTCTTCTTAAATGTATATATTCATTTTTGAGTGGAAATTCTGAGTCATTCCATAAGGTGCATTTTTTATGATTTTTTTTATTTTTCTAAAGTTGTATGTTTGTTTCAGATGAAGTCTCACAAATATAACCCACAGTAGTGTTTGAACTCATAATCCTCCTGCCTCGGCCTCTGAAGAGCTGTATTACAGATGCACTCTACCATACCTGACTGCTGCTGTTTTCACTTGGTCACTGACCCCAGAGTGGTTGTCCCATTCCGTTCCCTTCAGAAAGACTTAGCATGCTGGTGCTTGTTTTCTGGAGCGTTGCACAGCCTAATAATAATGACCACTTTATGATTTCAAGTTTGAGGTATTTTATATGGAGAGATTATGACTCCTACCATCAAGAGTTCGTGATTTTGATCCATCTGACGTTCATGCAAAATAAAGTGCCGTTTAAACAGGAACACAGCCACACCACTGTCTGTCACTGCCCGTCTCGAAAACATTCCCCTCTGAAGCAGGGAGTCCTTGTGCTGCAAGCCGTTTCTTACCATTTAGTCTTCACCCTGTGTCTGTGCCTTCTAGCTGCTTCAGCTGCCTTGCTTCCTGCTGACACCTCGTGCGGCCCTTCCTTCTTGGGCTTGCTCATGCTGGAGGCATAGCCCTCACAGCGTGGTTGTTTCTCTTCATTTTCACTTTGTGTCTTCTCTGTCAAAACAAAATGGGCATTGTTGTTGGTTAGTTCTAAAAATGATATATTTACAGTTTGTGCGGGTAAACAGTCTGATGCTGGTTAAAAACAATGTAAACCTTGGAGCAGGGAGGGATTCATCTTGAAAATGAATCATGTCTTGGCTGCATTGCGTTGTTTGTCTGCGCTCTTTTTAGCGAAGGAAAGGAAACTGTTAAATAACCATTGATATAGGGTGTTTCCTTTTAGTGTTTTGGAGCCAATCCAGTTTAGGTTAGGATTCTTGTAATTTTTTTTGTAAGTTTTCCAGAGGATGTTTATTTATTTGAAATTTATTCTTTGTAAATATCCTTTCTTTTCCTATCTCGTTGCCTTGGGCTTTAGAAAAAAATGAGTCTTTCTTATGTTTAGATTCTTGTGCATTCTTTAATAGAAATGCACACTAACCCTCATTATGAATATGAAAAACACACAACAGTGTCATGAGCAGCTGCTGGTGGCAAGTGTAGATTGTTCCTTATCGCATTATGTGGGAAATAACATCTTGTTATATCTGAAATAATAGCATATTTTATGTGAAATAATATCTTGAATTATCTTCAATTATTGTTTCTCCAGAGATTGTCTGTGCTTACCACAGTGTTGAAATTACATTTGACTGAAGTATTACTTTAATATGACTTCATGTATCACAATGCCACCACTTTAAAAAATATATAACTGCACCATAGCATCATTTTTCCTTAGTATATGTGTTTATTTATAACTAATATGTATTATTCTCGGAGTACTTAACCTTTTCTCGATTTGCAAATAGTCTGTCATGCAGAAATAAGCCTCATCCCTTTCAGTTACCCCCACCCTTTGTTTGAAAACAGCTAATGAAACCATTTCTTTCATTAACTATACATGATCTCCTAACTTCCTGGTGAGCTGTCAGCGGGTAAAGGTGGAGAGTGTCCCATCCCAGCTCCATCCTCCCAAGGTTTTCTGCCCCTTCCGTGATTTCCCTTTTGGGAAATGACATCTTGTTTTGCGTTTCTTTAACTGGAGTTGTCACTGCAGCTGCTCTGCTTCTTAGTTAAACTAGCCGCCTAAAGCTTCTTGAACATGGTCCAATGTTGTTTGAGTTTAAGCATCAGTATTGCTCTTATTTGAGTATAATAATTACTTATTGACACATCGGTATCTCTTATTGACCACAAAAATGGGAAAATCTTTTTTTGTTTTCACTTTTTATCTTGGTTCCTCATGTACCAGTTGGTAAAATATCAAAGACATTAAACATGTTTAGAAGTTATTCCAAGAAAAATAGTACACTTTGTTCTTTTTCTAAATTAGCTTTTACGTTAGCATGAACAATTGCATTATGGCATTTTCATACACACATAAAAAACAATTTAGATTTAAATCATAACTTGTCAGAACGGGAGATTTTTATTCATGGTAACATTGCTTTTCAATTTGACTCATGTAAGATGATCACTTACTCCGCCACTGTGAATTAATTTTTTTTTTAAAAAAATATGTGTGGTGAGGCACTTGTGAGAGCCAGTGAACCAACGGCGAGCAAAGCAGAATCCGCCTGCCTTCTGCAGCTGCGGACAGATTGAGAGGACGGAGGGAACACGAGGAGTGTAGTGCACACCTTTAACCCCAGTTCTCTGGAGGCAGAGGCAGGGCTATACAGTGAGACGCTGTCTTAAAAAGAGTAGAAGAAATTAGGAAATGCCTGGAAAGGATTTCAACTGGAAATTACCATTCTGTTTGTGGAGATCTCTGTAGTGATATGTGGACACATACCTGATGGATATGAGGGGAAACTCAGGCAGAGAAGAACAGACCACACAGCTGGTGTGCTCAGGGGACGGCAGTGTCCCCGTATGATAGTGATGTGCTCAGTTAAGGCAGACTTGGACTTTGACTCAGAGTGACGTGGGGACACTGCGGTAGACTTTGAAGATAGGAGTGATGTAACACTGTTTCGGTTGCTCTGAGTGGCAAAGCTAGAAACCTACAGAGACCAGTGAAGGGGTATGGACAGGTTCCAGCAGGAGAGCTGGAGTCTGAACTAGGTTGGTTTGCTTAGAGCTATGTAGACATTTCCTGTGTGTACATGTTTATGTTTGCTCATACTTGTGTGTACACGTGTTATGTGGGTCACAGGGTCTCTCCTTTAGCCCAGGCCAACCTAGAGTTCACTTTTATTCACCTAATGTTCTCCCGTTTTCACAACACTCTTGCTACGTCAGCCTCCCCAGTGCTGGACTGTGATGTAAGCCACCACAGCTTCAACGTTGTTATGGTAGAACCATCAGAATTTTTTTTGGTTACATTTTATGTCCAGTAGGAAAGAATGGTTGAGTCATGGTGACTAATATGGTTTGGGTTCAAAAAGCTAAAAATTTGGGGTTGTTATCAGTTGAAGTAATAACACTGCTTCATCAGGTTTGGGCCTAAAAACAGGACTGAAAGACTAGGATGTGTTAAGATCTCTCAGTTTCCCACTCATTTTTTCCCCATTTTCCCTTTTTCTCCCTTCTCTGTCTGGTCACTTATCCTGTTTTTCTTTACCTCTTCATAGACCGGGTGTCATCACTATATAGCTACATCTAGCATGCTGGGGATTACATGTGTGTGTTTGGGCACTAATATGATGTCCCATGTTCTTAGCATGATTCAGTGTGGTCCTGGAATTGGTACATTTGTGTGGGGATAATGATGGTAAGGCATCGATGCAGGTGAAAACACGTGTTCCTCGTGAGAGTGATTATGTGTAAGAGATGCCATCCAGAAAGTCACTAGCAAGTGATAGGAAATAGAAAACCACATACAGGAAGTGGCCAGGAGGAGGTAGTGATTGTGTTAAGTTCTAGCAACTGGGTAGTGAAGGTAGGAACTGAAGCTTAGAGAAGATTGGTAATAACGGGGGCTGGAGAGATGGCTCAGCGGTTAAGAGCATTGCTTGCTCTTCCAGAAGTCCTGAGTTCATTTCCCAGCAACCACATGGTGGCTCACAACCATTTGTAATGAGGTCTGGTGCCCTCTTCTGGTCTGCAGAATGAATACTGTATACATAATAAACAAATAAATAAATATTAAGAAAAAGATTGGTAATAACGGGCTTGGAGGGGATTTAGTAAGAAGAGAAAACTGGCACCATCAAATATTGATGGGTGGTGTTTGGTCTGTTTGTTTCGGGAATGTAAGTTAGTGGGAAGGAGTTAGGGGACAGAGGAGATTGCATTTAGTATGTGGGTATTGAGGATGGGTGAAAGGCAGTGGGACTGAATAAGAAGACTAAGGAGAGATTTATATGGCTGTGCCTTCAGGCCTCACTGTCTGTCTGTCCTTCTGCAGCTTTAGTTGCACTCCTCTTCCTTCCTGGATTTACACAACCCTGTCC